TCTCTCTCTCTCTCTCTCTCTCTCTCTCTCTCTCTCTCTCTCTCTCTCTCTCCTTTTCTCCTATCCCTCAGGGTTCAAGTCTTGTGCCTTTTATGCCTGGGCAGGATCTCTGACAGTCAGTTCCATACAGTTGGCACTGGAGACTCTTTCTGGGTTCCTTCTTATTTTACCCTTAAATTGTAATATGAGCTCTTGGATGCATGTATGGCTCAGAAGTGAATGTCAGTGCTCCAAGGAAATTGAGGATGACAGATAACTAAATGGTAACAGGGCAGATGGTACATTGATGAGGATTACTGAGGGCTTCAGGCAATGTCCAGAGGTAGGGGGCCCAAGGCTGAGCCATTCTGAACCACTGGAGAAGTGTCATAATTCCTTCCACTATGTGATTCTTGCAGTAGCTTTGCCTGTGACCTCAGTTGCTTCACTGAGATTGAGCAACTATCCCTTGTTCTTCAGCAACTAAATTGGCAAAGGAGGAAGATTATGCTGACTCGAAGATCATGGCCTGGTCTACCACATCCATATCTGTTCCTAGCCAGGTCTGTGAAGGCTCCAGACATTCTGATCTCTGTACATACCAGCAGAGAAACTTCAGGTTTATTATGGACTGTCTCTACACTCCTCAGAACCTTCTCTACCCTGCATCTATACATGTAACTTGGTGCACAGTCTAGGGCACAGGGACCCAGGGAGCTGTAAACCAGCAAGATGGCGGAAGGGGAGCTGAGCATCAGGGCTGTCCGTATTCCTTAAGGCTCATCGTAACTCCATCTTGCTGCAAGTGTAAATCATAGGAAATGTGCATGCTCTACAGAGGGTGGGGATTGGACCCACCAGATGGGAGGACTTGGGAATTAACAACGCTTCCTGAGGACTGCAAGAAATTAGTCCAGGCCCAAAAGATATTAAGTGGCAGCCAACCAGAAATCTGGCAATGAACAGAAAACAGGATACTGCACTCAGGCTAGTGGGCCCCCCAGGGAAGCTGCCAGTTACATGTGCCAGTGGAGAAGGGACTTGGAGAAGCTGATGGGCAGCCTGCTCTTATGGATCTCAGAGCTTTTAAGTACTTAGAGGTTAATAAAACACAGGCAGGGGCTGTTAGGGTAAGCAGAGTTCCTGTATCTATTCTCTTAGTCTCTTTATCCTGGGCTCTTCTTTTTCTTTCACGTTAGAGAATGTCACTGGCTTCATTCTCTTCCTCAATCCTTTATCCTGGGGTTTCTACCTATCCTGGGCTGAATCATATCTCCCAAAGCATTGAAGTACTGATCCCTGTTACCTGTGAAGATGAGCTGATATGGAAATAGGGTGCTTGTTGATAGCATTGAGCTAAGATGAGGTCTCACTGCAATGGAGTAGACCATAACCTAATGACTGTCTTTGTAAGAGGAATCTATTCACACGCACATGAGAGAGAGAGAGAGAGAGAGAGAGAGAGAGAGAGAGAGAGAATAAGAACACCAGAACACCAATGATAAAGGAATCAAATAAATATGGCAATGATGCTCTATAATCTGGAACATGCCAAAGACTGCTGACAACTATCAGAAGCTAGAAGAGGCAAGAATGGGTTCCCCCTGAGACCTCCTGAGGACCAGATGCCCTGACTTCAGATTTAGAGTCTCCAGAATTAGGAGTAGATACATCTGCCATTTAAGCCAGAGCCATGTGGCATGTTCAGCAGTCTCAGCAACCTAAAGCCCTGGGAAGCCCCA